AGTGACTCTGGACATATTTGACTTTCGAATGCCTTCAGGCCATGCCCTTTGATTGGCCTTAAGTTGCCTCCTTCTAATGGCTCTGGTTTCATCCTTATAGCTCCTTCGATTGAGTCTGAGACTACTCAACTAGCCCAATCGAAAGACTTCATTCTGGCCAGTCGAAGCTTCCTTTGGCAGAAATGTACTTGTACAGGGGGCTTGGGCTTGGCAACATGCAGGATTTTGGCTAGCAAACATCTTGGACCAAGACTCGCCACAAAGAAAACTTGTTTTCAATAATCATGTGTCCTTCGAATGAACCAATGAATGCTTCTTCGAAGGGACCACATAGATGCACCTTCGAAGGGACTATCATGCATGTCGAAGTGTGAAAAATTGTGCATCTTTTGATTCACTGAAGGGACCATTGCCCAGTCGAAGTTGGCACAAAGGCAACCAATGCCTTGTGGACACTAGCATGAGGGTGGCCAAAGCAAGCATAAAATGGGTCATTCCCTAGTAAATCGAATCAGGCACGAATGAGGTATTTGCCTTGTGGGTCGAAGGAAGCTTTCTACCTAGTGGGTTAAAGGAAAATCTGAAGAAGTCTTGGCCTTGTGTTCCTTACAAACTGATTTTGATCGAAGGGTTTTAAATGCCCAAACGAAGCTTGTGAGACACATATCGCTCGAAGGGTCCCAGACTCCCAATTAAAGCTCTTTGCTCTAATATGCTAATCGAAGGACATTACTCATATGCCAATCGAAAGACATTGTTGGCATGCCAATCAAAGGACATTGTTCAGATGCCAATCAAAGTACACTGCTTACATGCCAATCGAAAGACACTTTGCTATCATTCAAAAAAAATTATTTTTCTTTAGGCAAGTGTTTGTAATCACCCATGTAAGAGAAAACCTTGGGAAACATGAGAGGGAAAATTTTGGGGTACAACACTTAGTTTCACAAAATTCAATAATGAAAAACTAAGCCCAAAGAGTTTCTAATCTCCGTATCCAACTTCAGATACTCTTAGCATATAATTGCATCTACTTTGGATGGATCCATAATTATCCTTACCCAAAAAAATACGCCTAAGGAACTCACCTCCTTAAATCAACATTCACACTTTGACCACTTAGTATACAGTTTATTCTCCTTCAACGCTTACAATACAATTCACAATTTTCCACCTGCTCTTATTTCGACTTGGAATAAATTAGAATGTCCATAATAAGCACCATAACAACTGATCCAAAAATTCACCATGCCTACATGAAGTTCTAATAGTTGTTCTCCAAATATCCTCATCTCCTAGAAGTTATCCTACTTGCTTAGCAGATATCTCTGAAACATCCAGAAGGTACACACCACTGATATGTCCCTAGCCATCATATTTCTCTCTATTACCTAAGAAGCAACCACCAATAATACTTGATTGTCTTCTCTCAGAGACGCCTCAATCGTACAACAGACCAGAACCTTGACTTCGCAACATCCCTCAGACGGAAGAGTTTGTATCGACTTAACAACATAATTCCAAAGCACTTGGTTCCACTCCAGATCATTCACCCTCAAAGACCACCTCACGTCAATCCAACATCTCATTCTAATGACAACTCGCAATCATCTCTGGGAAGCATCAGGACCCATACACAATTGGCACATCATTATCCATAACATTGCTCTCTACTACTAGAGATGCGAACAACACAAGTACCTGATCAAATCACAAACCATTTTGCAATTAAGAGAAGAAGTAGTGTGCGTCCCTCCAGTGGGATCCATTCACTATTATCCCACAAAAATACTCAACCAATTTAAACTTTTTCTCCTTCGGGCCATTCTTTGAAACTCCCAAAAGGATGTGTTAATTCTACTCTGCACAATACGACACGTAAATCCTCAAAGGTCAGGTGGCACTATGTTTACTTCCTAGGGCACGAATGTAGCATTATCCTCCTTCGAGCATTTTTCTTTTGAAAATACCTCTTCAGGTAAGAACGTGTTAATTCCTTCCTATGCCAACGTGTGAGACTCCAAAGATCTAGTTGTGGTAGAAAGCAAAATTAATATTGTTCATAAAAAATACATAACAAACAGAAACTTTTAAGCTGAACTACAACACTCTGATTCTTTAAAAGGGATACATAAGCATTTGGACGCGGGGCCTAAGCGAGCAAAACTTTGTAAATATTCCTTCTTTCCCTGTATTTTCTTTTGCATGCATTCCCTTTTGCATTTTTCCTTTAGCTTGCAAGCTTTAGATTAGAACACACCTTTTGATCATAACAATAAGAGTGGATCCCGTGGGGTACCACAAACGTGAAGGACGCTAATATCTCCCCCTTGTGTAATCGACTCCCTTACACATATCTCTCAATCGCAAGACCTTGATTTCACCCTTTCTCAGGTTTAGTCGATGTTTACCTTTCCCTTCTGGTGGGATAAAAATGTTTGATGGCGACTTCATTGATTTTCTCTTGATGATTATCAGCCAGTTGTTTCATAATACTTATACTCCAAGTTGAGCGAAGATTCTCGTTAGACGACAAAGCAAATGAGAGGCTCATGCACCCTGCTTACGGTAATTTTTAAATCCCACTATTAAGTTAAAAACAATTTTTTCACACTTGTTACTGATATGTTTTTCTTATCCATTTTTAGGGATGAATTCTTGACCATTATCATCGCATCCACGGGTTTAGGCGTGACCTTGAGTATACGGAGGATTACCCAAGTGCTTGCATGTACCTCCTGCACAGAGGGAATGATGTTGTGGTGTCGTTCTGTATGTGTATTGATCGGACTCAGCATGATGACATCGTCTGAATGTTATACACCACTCACCAGGATAAAATTCCATTCGACCATATTTCATTATACTCCATCTGGTTGACGTGTGGGACTAATATTTGTGCATGTATCTGGCAGAGTAGTGTATGCGAGAGTTTGGGTACGTGTAGATCTTTTCGAGGTCCCATTTCAGGTTGCTCCTAAGAGCATTTTCTGTAGACAGTTGAATGACATTCTGGCGGATTTTGAGAGTAGTTTGGTACCAGAGAAGTAAGAGTCAGGCAACCACATCTGAGTGGTATTATGTGGATGGTTATATTACTTCATTATATTATGTGTCACACCCTTACATGACACCAGACGTTCATGGACGTCCACCTAGGCCTGTACATGAGGAGATCCTGAAGAATGAGCAGGTCCTGGATAATCATGTCATTAATGTATTGTCGATCTGTTAGAATATTATGCAAATGACAAGAGAGTGCATTGAGTTTGGATTGTTAAGAGAATGGTAATGATGTAGTTGACGTAGCACGTTTCATTCTTACTAAGGCACGTAATTCCTTGGGTTACCGTAGACAGAGGAGGAGCCAGGGTGTTAGGATTAGGCATACTCGATAGACTATGTATTTGATTGTATTTTGTATATTTTTCATTGACTTGGAGAATAATTTGTGTACTATGATAATCTATCTGATTCATTTTTATTAATCTTCGAAACAAATAATGACAATGTTAATCGAATTAAAATTAGTTTGGATTGAAAAAATTTCAATTCAGTAAACTATTTCTGCATAAAACATACAAGCAAGAATTCGAAGATGTATCTCCGAATTTACTCCACACATAGTTCGAAGATATATCTCCGAACTATTTTTCTTTAGAAATGTTGTGGTTTTTCTTGATTTACAAAGGAAGAAAGGTGACTTCAGAGATGTATTTGCGAGTTTACCCTGAGATTTATTCGGAGATGCATCTCCGAACTAAATTTAGTAAAAAAAAAATATTTGGTGCGTTCGGAGATGTATCTTCGAATATATCTAAGGATATTTTGAAATTTTTAAAGGTGGACCCGGTTGTATAAAAGTGTAAAGAGAAATTGCCCCAAGAAACTCATTGGAAATCCAATTCTCATAAGGGTTATCACAAAACAAATAAAAAATCAAAACTTGCAATAAATAATGGTACTGTCCTTCACCCCCCATATGATCTCTTGAGTGCAGATGAATAAAAATAAACTGTTGCGCAAATGATATAGCTGCTAGCAAATGAGTAAGTTCATTTTGAGTTTTTTTTAGCAATGGTTATTTTTCTATCAAGAACTATAGCAAATGTAGCATAGAACAAGAAAGACAAAGCCATGGAAAAGAGTGTTCAAAGTTGTGAAGATGGTTACAAGGAATGGTTCCGTTCTTAGGGTCAAAGTTGGTGATGAAGAGGAGAGATAAAAAGCTCCATGGATGTGAAGATTATGCAACTTGCCATAATGAAATGAAGCTCTATGTATCTACTTAATTTGGTTGGAAACCATAGGGTTGATGGGTAGGACTTGAAAGAAGAAGAAAGAAAATGGAGTTTGATGTGGTTGAAAAAGAGCAATACACCAGTTATAAAGAAACCAAACCCCAAAATTTCATGTCCTTCCATAGTGAAATTGAAATGTTCAATAATGACAATAATAAGGAAACTCTAAGATGAAGTTGGTTAATATATGTATAATATTTATGTGTGTGATATGATAGAATATAAAAGTGTCTATATTTGAGACACTAGAATGGACAAGGGGTGAGCATTCCTTTCATAAGGGAAAAGGTTGTTACTTCTTGTTGTTGGTGTCACACAAAGTACAAGGTTTAAAAGTTTGCGCTTAAGGAACAACAGAACAAAGTTGAAATTAGAGGGTGCGTTTTTGTTAAGGAAATTTCAGGCTAATGGATATACATGCACTAGAGTGGAAGTAGTTAAGTTTATTTATATTTTAGACCACAAAATATAAATACTTGTTTGCTTATACATGTGAAAAAATAGCTCTTGCGTCGGATTAAGAAAAAAATACCAAGTTAAATATTAAACTTCCTTTTAGAGTAAAAATATCTTAATATGAATCGCTTCACTTTAAATTCAATCTTAAATAATTTAATTTTACAAAATCAAGTTCAACAAGGACTACAAATTTGTCAAACATTCACTCACATGCTAAATCTAGGATTGCACCAACAAAAATCAGAACCCAGATGACTCAACTAAAGAGGAATATGATGCATTTTCATCCAAGTTTTCAGGCTTCTTAGTACTGGTTTTCCACGTTGTTCCATCACTATTTTTGTCAGATGGTCCCACCTCCAAACCAACCAACACAAAAAATTCCAATCTTTGATGTTTTGTTATATCCATGTCATCATCCCAGCAAGTCTCAGAAATAATTTCAAGTGCTTTCTCAATCTTGTCTTCAGCCACAAGATTCCCATTTTGCAGGAGGACAAGGTAGACTTGTTCAGCTGAGGCTTTTCGAATCTGTTTAACAAGAGATAAAATATAATAAGCTGAAGTATGAGAACCCAAAAAGCAAGCAGAAAGAGTAAATTGTGAGCAAGATCCTATCTTTGCAAGTGATTGCTTTTAAGAAGAAGAAAAAATAGTGCGCTAAATCGTAATTCACGTGTAGATGGATATTTGAGAATCACCTTAGGGTAAGGATGGCCAAGAAAAGTAACAAGCTTAGAAAAGGCCCTCACATGGATTGGTTCCGGTACTGAGGCTATATAGCCAAATATTGCAATACCAGTATACAACTTGGAGAAGTTTACTGATCCGTTTAGTTCTATTGCCAGAGAATCCAAAACAGAAGCACAAAAAGTTGGAGTGTGAGCCTGAAATGGCAAGACCTATATCAAACGTGTTCACACTAAACAATTGTAAGTACATAAAAGATAAAATCAATAAATAGACACCACATATCTCATATTTGTGAGCAGTAAAAATGGTTCATACAGTTTGAATCATCTGGATGACATGGGGAAATATGTACAGAGGATGATGCTCATGGCAATCCAAATTACTACTCATTTGTTTTTTGCCAGAACAAGGAAAAGTCTACAAAAATTGAAGGAGGTTTTCCTCGTGGAGTTTCTATACTTAGGGTCCAAGATGTCTGTTAAAAAGAATAGAAGTATATAGAATCTGTAGAAAGCTACCTTCTTATACTTCCATGTAGGGCTGACAATGAACTGAACCAACTCGAAAATAATTCAAAACTCGGTTCGACAATTAAATTGTTGAACTAGGTTCATGAACCAAATGAGTTGAATATGAGCTTAAAACTAAATCCGTTAACTAAATGAGCTGAACTTGAACCATACATAGTTCGACTCGTTAGGTTCATGAGTCAACTCGATTATATATGAGATGGATTATATATTTTCTTTTAATCTAAACATTTTAATTGATAATTTATATTCTCAAGTGAGCTAAATATTTCAAAAAATAATTATACAAATAAAATCAACATCGTATAAATTTCAAACTTATAACATTTATTTTATTTCTATATTTTAAAAAAGTTATTAAATTAGGAGAGACTAAGAGACATTTAGGTTAAACTGTGTGTTTTGAAAAACACTACGGAGACTTTATTATATATAGAGAGATTACAACTAATGTTATGATATAGTTATATATATATCAACACTCCCCCTCAAGCTTGAGCGTATAAGTCAAATGCACCAAGTTTGCCACATATATAATTAGTTATGGGACTTCGCAGAGATTTTGTAAACACATCTGCCAATTGATCATTCGAGTTGACAAAGCTTGTGGTGATGTAGCCTAACTCGATCTTCTCTCTGACAAAGTGACAGTCAATCTCAATATGTTTGGTCCGCTCATGGAAGACCGGATTTTAAGCAATGTGCAATGCAGCTTGATTATCACAAATAAGTGTCATTGGTCTTGCTTTTTCAATTTTAAGTTCCTTGAGTAACTGTTTAAACCAAACAAGTTCACATGTTGTCATCGCCATGGCTCTATACTCTGCCTCGGAGCTTGATCTTGCAACTACATTTTGTTTCTTACTTTTCCAAGATATAAGGTTTCCTCCAACAATTACACAATACCCAGAGGTGGATCATCTATCAATTGGTGATCCTACCCAATCAGCATCGGAGTATCCAACTATTTGAGTATGTCCTTTATCTTCATACACTAAACATTTTCTTGGAGCATATTTGATGTATCTCAGAATCCGGATAACAGCATTCATGTGTTTCTGACAAGGGGAATTTAGGAACTAATTTACCACACTGACTGCAAAAGAAATGTCTGGACGAGTGACTGTGAGATAATTCAATTTTCCAACCAATCTTCTATACCTTCCCGAGTCTGATAGAGGCTCCCCCTGATTGGGTAGTAGTTTGACACTTGGATCCATAGGAGAATCAACTGGTTTAGTGTTCAACAAACTTGTTTCTTCCAAAATATTCATAGCATATTTCCGCTGAGAAATCACCAAACCATCTTTAGATTGGGCTACCTCAATACCCAAGAAATATCAGAGTTTACCAAGATCTTTTGTCTGAAATTGATTCGAGAGATGTTGTTTCAACTGGAGTATTCCCTGCTCATCACTACCAGTTATGACAATATCATCTACATACACAATAAGATAAATACACCCTTGGGCTGAGTGACGATAAAAGACAGAATGGTCAGCTTCACTACGAACCATACCAAATTGTTGTACTACGGACCATACCAAATTGTTGTACTACAGTGCTGAATCTGCCAAACCAAGTTCTCGGAGATTGTTTAAGACCATAAAGAAACCTATGTAACCTACAAACCATATTCGATGACTCCCCCTGAACAACAAGCTCAGGTGGTTGCTCCATATATACTTCCTCTTCAAGATCACCATGTAAAAATACATTTTTAATGTCAAGTTGATGAAGAGGCCAATGTCGAATGGCTGCAATGGCTAGAAGAAGTCTAACATATGCCATCTTGACTACAGGCGAGAAGGTATCACTATAATCCAATCCAAAAATCTGAGTGTATCCTTTGGCTCCCAAGCGAGCTTTAAATCAATCAATCTTACCATCTGGACCAATTTTCACTGTATAAAGCCAACGACAACCTACTAAAGATTTCCCAGGGGGTAGAGGAACCAGTTCTCAGGCACCACTGCTTTGAAGAGCACACATTTCATCAATCATTGCTTGCCTCCACTCAGGGTGAGATAATGCTTCACCTGGAGTGTTAGGAATAGAAACAGAAGACAAAGAAGACAAACAAGTACACTGCAAAGGGGAAAGACGATGATAACATAAATCAATATAATGTGGAGAAGGATTTCGTGTTTGACGTATACCTTTTCGAAGGGCAATCGGAAGATCGGAATCAGGTTGCAGAATCAGATCCGGTGATAGCGAGAGCGTCGGAGGAGAGTGCAATGACCTCAGGGACATGTACGACCTCAGGGACAGGTACGACCTCAGGGACAGGTACGACAGACGTTGGTTGACGACGCTGATATGTTTGAAGTGGACGAGAAGTCGGGGGTTAATCGTAGGGTTATCTAGTGGGCCAGGTTCCCTAGAATGATGGTGGATAATGACATATGGGACTTCCGGAAGAGGTGTAGGAGTACTCTTCTGAAAGGATTCCGGAGTTACTTGGCTGGACTCGAAATATGGAACAAACTCGAAGAAGGTGACATCGGCCGACATGAGATATCATTGTAGGATATGTGAATAGCAACGATAACCTTTTTGGGATCGATGATAACCAAGAAAAACACACTTTAGTGATCGAGCTGATAGTTTATCAAGACCAGGGGAGAGATTGTGTACAAAACATGTAGACCCGAAGACTCGGGGAGGAATTGGGTGAAGGGGGGAATGGGGAAAAAGGATTGAATGAGGGATTTTATTGTTAAGGACAGATGATGGCATGCGATTTATAAGGTAACATGCAGTTAGCTCAGCGTCTCCCCAAAATCGAAGTGGAACATTACCATGGAAAAGTAGGGTCCGAGTGGTTTCTACAAGATGTCGGTTTTTGCGTTCGGCTACCCCGTTTTGTTGAGGTGTATGAGGACAAGATGTTTGGTGGAGAATACCATTACTGGACAAAGTTCGAAATTGTTAGGATAAATATTCAGGAGCATTATCACTTCTTAAGGTACGGATAGACACACCAAACTGAGTTTTTATTTCTTTATAAAAATTTTCAAAAATAGAAAATAATTCTGATATATTTTTCATTAAAAATAATCACGTGCAACGTGAAAAATCATCAATAAAGGTGACAAAATACCTAGACTCAAGAGTAGAGATAGTACGTGAGGGACCCCAAACATCGGAGTGAACTAAAGCAAAAGGGGACGAAGCTCGTTTAATAACTCAATTGGGAAATTGACTACGAGTGTGTTTTCCTAACTGACACGACTCACAGTGTAAATTAGATACTTTCGATAAACTTGGCGCCAACTTCTATAATTTGGTAAGACTAGGATGACATAACTGAGCATGGATTGTGACTGGAGAATCTTTGGTTGAGCATGTCTGAGATGACACTGAGAGGTAATAAAGGCCTTGAGACTCACATCCGACGTCAATTGTCCGCCCCGAACTCCGATCCTGCAGGGTGACATTACTATTAGTGAAGGTGACAATACAATCAAGAGAACGACTTAAACGACTGACTGAAAGTAAACTAAATGGACAATTAGGTACATAAAAAACAAAACTAACAGAGAGAGAAGGTAGAATTTGAACAGTACCAATTCCTTCGGATCGAGTTTGAGAACCATTGGCAGAAGTTATTGTAGATAAGAAACCAGAGGTAGAGAGGGAAGAGAAAAGATTTTTATTACCAGTAACATGATCAGACGCACCAGAATCAAGGATCCAAGGTCCAAGAGAAGATGATTGAGAGAAGCCAACAGACGAATTACCAGTGTGTGCAACCGAAGCAGTAGAATCTGAGTTCTGATAATTCTGATACCACTTGAGGAAATCATCGTAGTTTGGTGTAAAGTTCTGAGAGTAGCCATGAGTATCGGATTTGGAAAAGTTGCACGGTGGTGAGTGTGGTGGTGTTAAAATCGTCGGAATCGGCCAGATCGAAGGAGGCGTTTTTGCGGGTAGGGTTAGTTTGCCGGAAGGTCACCGAAATTTGTAGCGGCGAATGGCGGCAGCAGTTCGGTGGTTACCGGAGAATTTTGGAAAGTGGGAGGCAAACCGGAGTGATGACACGGTTTGTAAAAAAAAATATTGTCACCGGAAGACAGTGGGTCAACCGGGTAAAACACGGCGAAGAATTGCCTCTTAGTAGGCTCTAGATATCATCTTAAAATGTGTGGGTTGGGCCTAACTCAACCCTACAAATCCGGCTTAAAAACCGGCTTGTAAGATGAGGATTACTCCCACTTATAAAGTCATGTTCAGGCCATATATTATCCGATGTGAGACTTAACACCCCCTCTCACGCCCAGGAATTGGGGCTGGAGCGTGGAACTAAATGATGGGTGGCCCAATGGATCTTAGATGAGGCTCTGATACCATATTAAATTAGGAGAGACTAAGAGACATTTAGGTTAAACCGTGTGTTTTGAAAAGCACTACGGAGACTTTATTATATATAGAGAGATTACAACTAATGTTATGATATAGTCGATGTGGAACTATTCTACATACAAATATTCTTAACACTATATATATACAAATATCAACAAAAGTATTAATTTAAAATGTCAAATATATAAAATAGACTTTAAAAAATGACTTTTAAATCCGTGAAACAAACGAGTTGAACCTAACGAGATGAACCTAACAAGTCGAACTGAGTTGTTCGTGAACTTCTAACGAGTCGAGTTTGAGCTGAAAAAAAAGTTCGTGAAGAACTCGAACCGATATTTGAGCTGAACCAATTCTTAACAAGTAGAGCCGAACTGAGGCGAGTTCGACTCGACTCAACTCATTTCCAGCCCTACTTCCATGTGAAATCCTACATATTCCCTTTCTAACTTTTAATTTATTTCTACTCAAGTATCAGGGGGAACCAAACATCTCTTGCTAAAACAATATAGAGGGTACTTAACCACCAAACTAATGCAAAAATTGGCAACAAGAAGAAAAGGAGTATCAGACAACCTAATAACAGGAAAGATAAAAAAAAATATATAAAAAAAGAAAAAGAAAAAACAGAAAAGCAGGACTAACCTCCATATTAAGGAATATCTTCTTGCTGAGCAAACTCTCAATGGCCTGAAGCACAACACAAGCTCATAAGTACATGAGAGAGTTCCATATAATATTCAGTGCAAATTTAATTACATGTATAGATTTGCATTTCATAACAGAAGAGGCACACAACAAGTAATATATACAAGACAAAGAAAATAAATTAACATATGACTTAAAAAAGTAATAAGTAATGAATGGTGTTAAGGAGAGTGCTGACCAGGATTATTTGTGTTCAAAACATATAATTGACAAGGTATATTTACTGTTAGAAATTAGAATGCAGCTCCTTCAACTACAACACATGGACTAGTCTTCCCTAGCAGCTAACTGAATAGAGCAAATTATGAAGGCTGTAGAAGGTAAATCTTTAGATTACATCTTAAGCTTCTAGGTACCATATTCCTAAGGTACAACGAACTAATTATCTTGGAAAGTCATTTGTGCAGCATAAAGCTTCTAGGTTAGTAGTGGCACATAAGTCAAAACTAGACCGGACTAATCAGTTACACTGAAAACCCTGTGATTTCATCAGATGCCTGGTCAGTTCAGACCCAAAAACTGGTTGATGACCAATAATAGATGAGTCATGACTCACAGCAGAGGTTGATGGCGACTTGAGGGAGTCACTGAAGGCTATAGAAGTTCAACCCATGGATTTGCATGGTGGATGTTGATTTAAAGCACGGAACCACAGCCTCTAAAACATTCAGAATATTCTCCAACCCCCCATACCATACCCAGAAAAAGAAGAAAATAAAAATAGGTGTAAAACAAAACCAGATCTTTTGCATGATCAGTTAATCGAAGCAATAATAATAAAAGCACTGCTTAGGAAAGGCAATACCTTTAAAGTGGGTACAATGACTCTGTCGTGTTTCCTGTATTGTTGGAGAACCCACAAAATATCAACTGATAGCATATACTCCCTGAGCGTTCTTGTATTAGGGTCTTCGGATTCAATCCCTTCTAAATACTCTAACAGTGCCAAGAGTGATACCCTCTTCAAAGAATTCGGAGTATCTAGCAAATCACCCATAGATATGACTAAACCCGATAGCACATATCTGCTATAACAACCAAACTGAAGTAGCTGTACGAAGCGTGGGTAAGTGTGCGAAGGAACCTGCAATAAAATAATATTGTCTCGATAAAAAAAATTATACTATCAACCTCAAGAAAGGATGGAAAATCTATAAACTTACAGCCCATTTGGCTTCTGCTTCCTTCGGAATTATTTCTTCTAACTTTTCCCGGAAAGGAATATATGGAATATAAATCATCTGGTTGTACAAAATTCTGTAGAGAACGCTTGCTGCAGCTGCTCTCAACTTATCCAACTTCTCCACAGCTTGCTTACAAATCCCTCCAACTAAATTAGTAGCAAGATTTTCGTTGAATAATAAAAGCTCCGCATTTTTATTAAGCATACTATCAGCCAGAGGATTCGCTAAGGATTTAACTTCATTATCATCTGATTTTCCAGACAAGCAACCTGACTTGTCGATCTTACAGAGCATATATGTACATTTTTCAAGGCCATCTAATGCAGCCTCACGAACCCAAGATCCTACATCACCTCTATTATCAACAGAATAGTCATCAAGAGCTTTAAATAAACTCCCCATCACCTCATTCTTTATAAAAACATACAGAGAAAAATCATTCTTAGTGAAAGAGGTAGCAGTATTCTCTTTTCCACTAATTAATGTTTCACATACTGATACCAGCCCTTTGACAGCATTTACCCGTGCTTCAGCATCTCTTTCTTTAGGATTTTTCTGCAATAGGAAAGCATTTGGGTAACACAACAATTGAACCTAAGATAGTAGAGATGTAGCATTTGCAACAGCTTACAGTACCTCAATTTTACAACAGCCACAAAGCTTCAAGAGCACATTTCTCCATTGATTGGCCAATAACTCATATGGAAAAACACCTATGGCCAATGAAGATCCTCTCCTTACCACTACATTTGGATCAGTCAGCATATGAAGATACTTTTCTGTCAAAACACTAGTACTTTTATCATCTGAATCTAGTAAGTATGCATAGAAAAAATGTTTCAGGCCTTTAACAGCAGCATTCTGTACATGAAAAGAGGAATTTACTTGTCAAAGATATAATGGCCAATAAAAATAGCATATGCAATGACATTAACCAAAAATTTAATAATTTATGCAAATTGCCAGTGTGAGTGTGTCAAAGGGATAGAATAGAACCTGTATCTGAGAATTAGGATGCCTCAAGTTCTCATTTAGAGTATCGAGTAAGCTTTTCTTTATTTTTTCTGGTAATGGCACTTTAGATATAGAGATGCATTCAATAAACCGAGAAACAGCTGCGCGCATTATTTCTCCCCCCTTTCCACGATAAAGACGTGCTTTCTCAATGGCAGGAACGACATTTGCAAGCGTTTTATGTTTATCTGTCAATGACAAAGTTCAGCAAACATCCTATCTTCGATAAAGATATCTTTTATCATGACAGTTAGTTGGGAAGATAAACTTGACTAAAGATTTGAGTATATATTGATCTTCAATTTACAAGGCTGTGTATTTAATTCCCCAGTCCAAGTTTATTATTCATTTTCTTCTCATGTTAAGGAATGAAGTCAAATTATTCCAACAATTCTATTTCATAGGTTTCTTCCAAAAAGTATTTCGTTTGAAATAAACGATACTCATTTAAAAGCAAGATAAGTATTAGAGTAGAGAAGATACAGAGAATTTCATTGAAGAATTCAATTGTATATTCTGTGAATTGAATTACAAGGAGTTAGCATTTATATAGACATGCTAATCCTATACCCTTATGTACCTAGTCCTACACCTCATCAAAACTAACACTTAGTTAGTTATTATGACGTGGCAAAAGTAGTTACTAGATGCTAACTGACAAACAGCTTGCATAACTAACAGAATTAGTTATTGCTGAGTTATCAGGGTATCATATCTCATAACAAGTAATAAGCAGCCTTAGTGATTTCCTGATAAGAAAAGTAAGGAGGAGAGACAATGAAAATAGTGGTCTCACTATTCTGAATAATTTTTGTACTTCTATGCATAAGTAAAACGGTCAAATAAGCCCCAAACTCCCAAGCCCTTAATTATGGGCCCTTCATTATTTTTGGAAAGAAAAAAAGTTTAAAATGTATTTTTTGAGAAATAAATAAATAAATAAGTCGGGGCCTATGAGACTCTTTTAGATTTTGGGGGGGGCCCAAGTCTTAGGGGCTTATTAAAGTGGGGCTTTTTGGCCCCCTAAGCATGTGGGCTGGAGCCAAGTTTTGAAGGACCCGATAAATTGACAGATGTATGCACAAGATAAGACTAAGGTTCCAAGTGTATATTAGTGTAAGCCTGACCCACAGTTCAATAGTCAACAGTAACAGTTATTAAAACAGAACCAGTCTGGCCAATTAATACTTATGTATGTACATTAACATGGGTTTTCAAAGTTGTTTGAAGTTCCAGCAGCTGAGGAAACAATTTAGTTTCGCACTAACATGTGAATGTGAAACTGAAATAGGTTGCTCTACTACTTGGAAATCACCTCTTCGATTTCAGAACACATGCATAAACTATAGACTAGGCATGCAAGGCTTGTATAACAGATATACAACATAAAGAAAATGAAATTCAACAATAGCCGCCGCCTCTTTTTCTTTTTTTATAGTTTTAATAGAATAAAATTGTTTCCATTCCATTACTAACAGGAAACAGCATAATCAAAAATTGTGAAATGACAACCTGAAGGAAGAGCATAATCGCATTGATGTAAAGCAAAAACAAGTTCCCCAGTTGCCAACGTTGCACCATGGCGCATGCACAAATCAGATGAAAGAGTACAAGGAACTAGCTTTTCCATAACAGCACTTGCAAAATACGGAGGGTCATATTTTACAAGTAAGGAAAGGGCCTCTGCAGAAAGTTCTCGCAAGCTTTTATCCTAAAGATGTAATTTTTAAGTCAATTCTCTCAAAATATATCAAGAAAAATGAATATCAGGAAGCAGCAAAATAACCATAAACTGTTAGTAAATATCATAATATAGATAAAGTTATGCCGAAAAAGTATATCATGTGAGAGGGAATCATGAGATTAAAAGTAACAAATAGTTGAATCAAACTTAAAAAAAGTTAGACCATCCTATTTAGCCATGTTAGCTTAAGAGTTAAAAACCTCCACCGCAAAATGTCCTCTCTCTGTTACCAGTGAATTGTTGTGAGTATAGGTGTCAAAAAAGCTCCACATGACCAAGTCCAATACTTGGCTTCTTATTTTTAGGTCAGCCCCTTATTTTTAAACCCCCTATTAAAAGTGTATTTTCTTGGCCTAGGCCCCCTAATGATATTATTTTTTTAGAGGGCCTAAGTAAGAGGGCTCAAGGCTCTATTTTTTTTTGAGAAATTAATTTTGAAAATAATTTTTTGCCAACTTTTTTTCTGAAAATAAAAAAATTGTAAGATCATTGAAAAAAAAAACTTCTGAAAACGAAAAAAAAAAAGTATTCTGGTGGGGGCCTTTCCTATTTTGGGGCTCATTTTTTCTTAAAATTTTAGCCTCCTGAATTTTGGGAGCCTTTAAAATTAGGCTTCGGTTTTAAAAAGCCCCGTAAATTGACAGCTCTAGTTGTGAGCCATTGTCAGGAATGTTTGATGATGTGGTGTGCCATTTGAAAATAGCTTGCAAAGGAGCTGGAGTGAGATTATTTGAAACTGGTTCAATGAGAGCATTCTCTTTTTTTTTCAAGACGCAATTCATGAGTAGCAAGCATAGATTCAACTCAAATTCATCTAAGGAGCAAGGACCAGACTTGTTGATTACTGCAGAGACTAGAGTCATACACTACAGGTAAGTAAGGCTTCAAGAATGATCTCAAATTGTCAGGATAAGAAACTGGGGCATGGCAATCTGCAACCACTCATGATAGTCAAGAACCAGATAGGGAGAAAAGAAACATTGTTATGATCAACAAATCATGCTGTTCCTATTCTGTATAATAGTTTCAGCCTGGCCATCAGATTTGAGAAAGAAAAATGGTAAATTATTAGAAAGGATGACATAGTGCTGCAGCTTGTGACCTCAAATGATGTCTTTGATCTGTTGTGTCCGTCGCAGGAACTTTATGGACGTACTTCAGTGGGATCGGATGCAAAAAGGTGATTGGCACATTGGGAAAAATGCACTGTGAGCTATCAGATATGACATGAGAGGATTTAAGGAAGTGGTCCTTTCACCCAAAATAAAAAATTAGCTCACAGTACAGTGTTAAGATTCATAAAGTGAGGAAATGGAGGAAAGTGAGAGTAAGTTTGAGATCAAATCTGTAAAAGAGTTTGTATATTCTGATTATAATGAATGCCCTGGTAGAAGAGAGCATTTATACTGTTAGATTAAGTTGCAACCATAGTAATCAGTTGAACTCATCTGAAATAAAATTACTTCGATCTACTGGAACAATTTAAAGCTAGCAGCAGCTAGTGGGTTTCTGCTAATGCAGGCCCAAATAATAAAAGGTAACAACAGTAATAGAGTATAAATCGGAAACATAAAGTAGAGAGGTAAAGAGCAACATATCTCTAATAAGCCATACATAACACATAGCAAATACATACATAATGAATAACTAATTTCATTCATCCTTTTAAACCTGAAAGATTTTAAAAAATTGTAAACAATAAATCTACGAAGAAAATTTTCTATTGTGAAATACATATGCCATTTATATAGGTGATTTATGTTAGAATATTTGAAAAACATCTGTTCACATCATTATTTTATCATAAAATATTGTACAGTATTGTAGATTAAAACTCTCATATTAGTTTCAATATTTGCTTATGAATCATGGTCTATATCCTTATTTAATTAGGATTAAAAGTCTGGTATTACTATAAATAAGAATTAGTGTTTTGCATTTGTAACTATACATTCCATTTCCTCCATTTATATATCTACAGGACTAAACCCTATGACCCCAACAATCCTCACAAAAGCTAAGCTTCTATCTTATTCAGCGGCCATAATACCGGCCAGAATGCTATACAAACTTCATTCAGAAAGTGCCACAAATCCATAATGCAAGGGCAATTAGGGTCAATATGGTAGCAATAGAATTGGTAAGAGAGAGGGAGAGATTTTATTGGAGTTTACCCAGTGACAAACTTTTCTGCCCAGCAGGTCGCTCACAAATGGAATAAGATATCCTTCGTATCGAGCAATGGAGATGGCAACATGAAGATAAGAGTTAACTCTAGAAGAAAGTGAAAAATAATCTGCAGTATTCACGATGTCAATGCCATGCGGATAATTCCCTTGTCTTCCAACATTCTCTTGAAAAGCAGCTGCTGCTGCTCTTCTGCAGTTAACCTAATTATCACAGGTCAGTTAGACATTCTATTTCCAAAGCAGTGAAACATTCTAAAACAAAGCATGTTGTGAGAAGGGCATAAAAGATATAAGGACCTCACGATCATAGCATGCCACTGTTAAGAGGTGTGGAGCAAGCTCCTCTAAAATGTTCCTCATATCTGAGTGATAATATGCACGTCCAAATGCCCAGCATACATATGCTGCAGCATCACGCACATTAGACCCTACACTGTGTGGACCTCTTCGAACATCGTAATGCAGTGCCTGATAAAAATAATATGCTAATTATTTCCTTTGTCATGTAGCATTTATCTCAAAAAAAATGTCAATGATCTCCGATTCTCCCCAGTGTTGGGTATAGGCTTCAAAATAAATAAAGTACTTTGAACAAATAAATAACTATAAACAGAAAAACGAAATAGTCTGAAGGCCCAAATCCTACATTTATAAGCCTATGATATAGTTTGTAATACCACCTGCACAACAACGGGAACAACTTTGGGAAGACTAGTGGGTAAGAGCAAGCCTCTACGAGCAAGTTCAGCCAAAGCTAAGCAGCCTCCATGCCATGAACATTCACCCTGAAAAAACATTAAATTTGAGCTATAAAACTGGAAGTCTGGAACGGAGCAATGATAGAACACCAAATAAATTTAATGTTTAATTAGGGCTTACTATGATCAAACTCAAACAGAATTTTACACAAAATCAACAAGGACGCTTCATGAAAATCTCACGGATAATACTCTCCAAAGTCCAAACTACCAAATACACATACCTAACTGCTATGTAACTCAATAACGACAGAACTGCCTGCATAGCGTCCACATGAGAAGTGTTCTACATCCTACACCCTCTTTTGGAATATGCCTTCCCAATAGGAGGGTTATTGGTTTTTCGAGTCCTATCAGACTAGTTAACATAGCAAAAAAAAAAAAAAACTACTGCAATACTTGTAGAAACCAGGGTGAATATGAATTTAATTAGTAATTTATGATGGTCGGGAACATGTATAAACAAAAGTTTCATACCTCACCAGCTGAAAACAGCGCCAAAACAGAGGATAAAACCTCCTCGGAAAGGGAAGATGTCAAAAGTGAAGTTATGCGACCAATACCTTTCCCTGCAGACCAACGTACAACAGTGTCCTACAATCCAATGCCAAGATTTATTTAGCAAGAGAAAGAAAACTATACTAGATGAAGGAAACATGTCGGCTTAAGTAGCTCTGAATGAATCCACGAGATGTTTAAGCAACTATATATCATAAATAATGGCGTGTCTGTCACCAGCATATTTGGCAGTTCACTTTATTAAATTTCCTACAAACCTCCCTTGGCATTCAGGTTAGCTAAAGGAAAGAACAACTGGTAAGGAATGATGGGTAAATCAAGGATGTAATAACACTTAATAAAGGGGGATTGATTTTGGGTAATATCTTACTGTTAGTTCAGTTGGGAGTCTAATTATAGAGTAATTGATTAACAATGAGACAACTGTCTCGCATAAGATAAAAGGTGGTTGCTACAGCTCAGTCTTATCGATTGTGGATGATTAACCACGGCGGAAGGCCAAAAATCAATTATTTTAGGCCAGTCATATCCATCATAAAATGCCATGGAACTGCCATCCTTCCGAAATTGGCTGTGACGGATGTCGGAAAATCTGTCATGGCCAATATTTGACAACAATGCTACAAAGAACATGTGATTGGGTTTTGGAAATATACAAAGAAACATGTGTTGTATTGAAACAAAATAATTGATTAAACTGAAAGATAATCATATGGCAGGAGTATGTCAGAGAATCATAAGGTTCAAACTATGTCAACAGTGCTCTAGTAATATGTCAGAGAACCACTCATCTGAATAAATTATGTAGTTAAGCGCCTTTGGATTATTTGGATAGAGCAGTGCTATTTCACCCAACAATCAACGTTACAATCTACTACACAAATAACAAAAATGTTCAGGATCTAAGGAAACCGGCAATGGTACAATATAAAGCCCTACAACACAGAACCAAATCAGGAGGAAACATTTGCTATGTGATAGACTTATCTATTTGGGTAACTCATATATATCCGAATCAGAGACTAACATTGAAGTAATATGTGAGTCCTTTCTATTCAACAGTGTTTAACCAAGCCTGTTAGTCAGTTCAGTAACATCATACATATCATTATTTCACATCTCATGCCAGCTATCAACAGAGTAATTAGTAATTACAGTTTCAATAGCTTACAAGACTTTTTTATACAATCCATTTACAGAGAGGCCAAGCTATCTGTTTCCGTTCAGTTGTAAAATCATTGACATGGAGACTTAGACTCCTGAGATACTTAGTACTAAGGTGAAACACAAAATTCACAATAAGAATCTCACCCTTTAGACATACCATATCCCTCAAACCAGATAACAACATCTCAATGATCTCTTCAACATTTTCTGGAACATCCATATCTTCATCTTCTACCTCATCTGTAAGTTCAATTGAGTTGGAGTTATTGTCGATCACACCCAAATCGGATTGATTAGCTTTACTGGATGTATTCAAAGAAATATTTAGTTTGGCGGTTCTTCCCTGCATGGTATGCATAGAATTATCAAGGGAAAAAAACGGTGGCAAACATTAAGCTTCTACATTTGTTTAAAATTAATCACCAACTAATGTACAACTGTCCTCCTAAAAGGTAAGCTATAATGCAATTACATTAGTTACCAATTATTTAGAAACACTTAGAAGAATCTATCAAAAAAAAGTAACACTGATGATGACTGAGAGAACCAAACAACAGAGCAGAAATTTATGTCACTGAGACAGTTAGCTTTTATCAAGGGCGCAAATCAAATAACTAAGTTTTAAGAAGTTTATGTCTGAAGCTTAGTTCACTAAGTGACTCAGGCCTGATACATGATAAAAATACTTTCATTCATATAGCTCAAACTATTAAGAGGCCAAAGTACGGCCATGGCCAAATTGCTGAAGGGATCTTTAAGTTCAACTCTTCACATTTTCAATATCAGTAATCTCTCCAAAATCATCCACCCAGTTTTGCTTCAAGTTTTAAATCAAGTTCTTGACTTGCAGTAGAAGTATTGATTATTTTGTTGGCATAACAACAAGCATTTCCGGATAAAGCATATAACTATATCTAATTGTGGATTGTGACTTAAATGCCAGCTCAGAGTAGAAATAAACAAAACATGGACAATTATACTTGCAATCGGGCACATAAAAAAAAGTGTCTTCAAACAAGATATAAGATCCCATTGAACTTGAATTACAGAAAAGCTAACCGTATAACGCCATGAGGGTAATCGATGAGGAAGGGAAGCAACCCCAATCCTTTGTGTTAACTTCATCAAATACTTGCGGAGCAATGGATTTCGAGCCGCAATTGAGGACTTGTACAGCAATGAAGTGTCATTCCAAACGACAGGAATTACATCAAGCAAGAGATTCCGACTGCCTGCCTGCTTATAGATTTATGTTGTAACAGTTAGAATCATTAAAGGCAACAAAGACAATTTTTTGTTAAGATTGCCGAGCGAATATTTAACAAAGCTAAATGTGATGACTTGTCTCCTCGAACTACCTGAAACATTCAATCGATTTGAACCATAATGTTTGACTCGTTCTTGGTTTGTATCTATTTGCATGAAAACCTATCACTCCCTCCGTTTCACAACGAGTGTCAAAATGAATGTCACATTCACTTTTCAAGGCTATAATTAATTCTTTTTTTCAATTCTACCCTCTAATTATTACTATATACACTACTTTCAAAAATCAAATTTCACTTGGGTATTATGATGGGAAGAACACACCAGTGGTTAATAGGATTAGTTTAGTAAAGGTGATGTTTTTTGACAACTCATTTGTGGGTAAAAAAACCTTAAACGAAACCCATTTTGAAACAGAGGGAGTATTACTATTAATTATCCATCTGTAACATTATCAGTTTTAAGTTAGGAAGGAGAAAAGAAAGAAAGAGAAAAAATAACTCAGATTCTATTAAGGATGCAAAATAAAATACTAACCTAATAGTATTATTTATACTAATAATAGATTCCTAATCCTAGTTAAATTTAACGCAAGGAACAAATAACTTCGTAAAGATAAGATTATAGTCCTAAAATTACGATAAGGTTCCTGACAAATAAGAACCCTAAATATAAAGGTAACAAACTTTCCTTAAAATAAAATAACATAATTAACCTCATCTATAATGCATCATAGTCCTGAAGCACGGGTACTTCTAAAATGGTGAAGTACCCGCACCGGGTACACGTAACGTACTTGTGATACTTGATTTTTTTCCTCATTATTCTGTTTCGAGTAAAATGTTGTATCTTTACCGGGTACTGTACCCATATCTATGCATCATAGCATCATACTCTCCATCAAAATAAATAATTTGTTGATATTCTAATACTCCTCCTCAAGGTTAATTTTACTAAGCCTAACAAAATGATCACTTTGAATAAAAAAGAAGCTAACAAAAATATATAAAACAAACTCCATCAAACATGGCTAGAAAAATACTTGGGGATATGGTAGATAAGTCAAACAGGTGAGTATCTTTAGAGAGAACTCAAAAAGGCAGCTGCAATAGTAATAAGCCAAACAGAAATTGAAACAGCGGTAATATTTAGGAGACCGGAAAATTTGAAATTGAAATTAAGGCCAAAGATTACGGATGCTAACAAGATAAAATCCCAGAAATAAAGTAACATAATAATGAAGCAATCATGAATCATCATTAAATAACATGAATCATCCATATGTTTCATTCACCCCCTCGACAGAATTTTGTAGAAATTCTAACATAAACAATGGTGAAAAACCCTTGGACCTTGTGTTGTAAATGAAAGTTAAAACAAACCTTGAAAATAGCAGCCAGTGCTTCAATGGTCCCGAGTACTTTGAAATGCTGGAGTACATCTGCAGTTACAGAAGTCATGACCTCATGTGTCCACTCGACAAAGCTGAAGCAAAGAGAAAAGTCAGTTTATCCAGCAACTGTAGGGTGATTCAGTTCTTAGTTTTTAGCATGATGGTTAGTGAAACAATAGCTTCTATGCAACACTAATGCGGGCATGAATACAAGCTCAAACATGCCTAAAAGTGATAGCACATAACTGCTGTGATTTGTGAACTAGTACAATTAAAACAAACTATTTAAGATATGTAATAAAAACTTTTCTTCTATTTATAACCATGAGCGAAAAAGCCAAGAATCAATTAATGATTTGAGCTAAGCTTTAATCCAAATGAAAACTATCCATACATCGTGACACAAACAGTTAAAGCAAGGATATATAAAAGCATGAGCTAACATTAAGAGGGTGTTAGAGTAAAAAAAAACTCAATTGAGAATTAATCATTTGAAAGCCTATGTATAAGCTATTTCTACAATCAAAAGAAGAGGGACACCAGCTCAAACTGAACTCTATGTAAACTTAATATATGCCATTTTTTTTTCACACTCTCAAGGACCTAAGCCTTCACCACTAAGTCACACACACTAAATATATGCCATCTTAGAAACCTTACTAAAATAAGATGTGAGCAGCTTCCAGACATGTTGTAAGTTACTCTAGTAAGCTTTTTGAAATAAATTGTGTTTATATACAGATAAATTCAAATAAACTCTTTCAAACTATTAGGGGAGATTTTCATTAGGGAGCATTGATACATAGTGGTGGACACCTTTGAGCAACACACCTTTGTGGGAGACACACCACTTGTCCACCTAAAACCTTAAGGTGATAGGTGAATGGATTGTCCCACTTATATATGCTTAAGTCATCACATTCTTATCCAATGTGGGACTATTTCCCCACTACTCACACTTGACTTTGTTATATTCTCAACACAAACTTCTAAGTAAGCTATAAAAGTAATTGAACAAACCTAGTAAATGCTTTTGGCATATCTGGACGAGTAAGTAGCCTCGAGAGTACTAATCCAGCCATAGAATGCATAGGCCCGGCAGCCGAGAGATAATCCTTGCAAAACCCTGTTATCCTCAACGCAAGAGGTACAAGCTCAAACTCCCCTACATTATCACTGCTTGCAATGCTAGTATCAACACTAGATATATCAAAAGGAACCAGCACAAGTATATAAAGCCACAGCAACATCACGCATTTCGCTTCATTTTCTCCCGTGCTTTCCTCTCTCAGCGAGGAAACTGAATTCCTGAAATGACACTTTTCAAGCAGAGACACCGCAAGTTCGAGGTCCGAAACTTGATGAGGAAAAAATCTAATCACTGATTTGTATCCACAAACATGGACTAGTGAATACACAACTATGCATATTGGATTAACTATTTCCAGAATTTCGTCGGAAGCTACACCGAGTTCGATTGTTCGTGAACGAATAATGTTCATCAATGGCGGAACTATGCTTTCTAGGTAAGGCTCTAGAAGTTGACCTTGCTCTTGATACTTATCCATCTGCAAACAAAAATCGTGATCCAAGCAAGGTTATGAACAAATAACCGCACGCAAATCGAAATCGATTAATAGAGAGAAAGAGTTTACAATGGATCTGAATTTGTGAACGAATGAAGGATCGGAGACGCGAGAATTGGAAACGGTGTCGTCGATGAATGCTTTGACGAGGTTCCATTCTTGAAGGAAGTGCTTTTTGAGAACTTTTTCCTTAGAATCGTACTCGTCGTCTTCTTCTTGATTCATCGCCGCCGTCGCTATAACTGTTTCTTCGTTCGGTTGTTCCATCTTCTGAAACTACTCACTCCTTACACAGTTTCACTTCTGTTCTGCAAAAACATTGGAAATGACTAGTATTGTTATTCGCGCCTCCGGTTTAAAATTAAAACCCTCGTACCCTAAAATTTAAGAAAATGGATTTTTTCTTGTATTTTTAAAATATTATAAAAAAAATTATGTTCGTCTTTTTTAAATTAAAATACTAATTTTCACATCTTATAACATAAATATATATTATTGACTTTCTAACATAAATATATATTATTGAAGACTAATAAATAGTTAAAATTACAATTTATAAAAAAAAAATATATTTTAAAAATAATTTTTATAAAAATCTATTTAAAATAACTTCAAAATCAAATGATATTTTGAAATTTTGATTTCAAAAAAAAAATTCAATAAAAATATGAAATATCTAAAATAACATTTTAAGAACAACTATTCAAATCAAATTTATAATTAAAACTTTTATGAAAAGTTTCATGATAAATTTTTTTACATAAAATTATGTAATATTATAAAATCATTTTTTTTAAAAAAGACAAAACAAATGAACCCTGATATTATTAATAATAATCAAATTTTAAGTATATTTCTTCCTTTTCTTTTTTAATAGTAATAGATTTTAAATATATTTTTTCCTTTTATATATCCCCCACTCATTCATAATGTGTGTTTGGAACAACGGAATTATAGAAGAGAAGTAAAGGAGAGAGACATCGAAGGAATAGGCATTCACCATGTTTGGCCTAGCGAAGAAATGTGAAAGAGAAAACAAAAATGTTGGAACTCCACCAAAACTTACGATGGATTTCTATCTTGATGAACAAGATCGATATCACTACACAATGGTAATAAAAAATAAAAGATGAAGAAAAGAAAAAAAATATTTTTCTGCAGAGTTTCTCTCTGTCCACAAACTGTGCAAAACTTCATTATTCACTTGTAAATGAAAATTATGTGAATGAATGAATTGAATTGATTACATAAATAGGGGTTACTCCCTCTATTTATAGATTTATGTTAGTTTGCTCTCTAAGCCAAAAGCTCAAAACTATAAAAGCCCAAAATACCTATTTTAGAACTAAATCAAATATATTCTATTTTAGATTTAAATCAAATTTATCTAAATCTAAAATCAAATTTGTGCGCAGTATCTTCGACACACCATGTTTCGACACTTCCTTGTCTCTATCGAGCAAACTGCTTCGACACAAGGAATTACTTTCAACACACCACATAATTCATTGTGTTTAAGCTATCTACATTTATCATAGCTCTTAGTCTTTAAAATATTTCAACTTGCACACTCTTTGTCGTGATGTCTGCAATCTAATTCTCAGTTCTGCAGTGTTTCAAGTTCATCTTCACATCTGCTACCTGCTCTCGAAGATAGTGGAACCTCATTTTGATGTGTTTGCTTCGACCATGAGCTATCAGGTTCTTCTCCAGGTTGATAGCTGACATGTCAATCTTCATGATAATTACTCCATGATTTTTCTCTGTTATCTCTTCGACCAAGTTCACCATCTAAGTTGCTTGACATGCACAAAGAAAAGCAATTATATATTTTGCTTCGCATGATGATAATGTCACTACTGGTTCCTTTCTCAAACTCCAAGCAACTGGTGCACCACCTAGCATAAACATATATTTTGTTATGGATTTTCGATTCTCAACATCACTACATCAACTTAAATCAGTGTATCCCACTAACTTGCATTCTTTCCCCTTAAATCTCTTAAGAATTTCACCAAAATATCTTCTTTGATTCATCATCAAACTTCTATCACTCTTGTAGAATTCGATGCCAAGGAAGTAGGAAATGTCACCTGAATTTCGAATTCCTTGTTGAGATCACCTTTGAAGTCTTCAATATCATTCTTGCAACTACTTGATACTAACAAGTCATCGACATAGAAACATAGTATAAGCAATTCACTATTGCTTCTTCTTACATATACTCCATGTTCAGTTGTGCACTTCACAAATTCCTCCTCCCTTAGAAAACTATCAATTTTCTTATTTCAGGCTCTTGGAGCTTATTTCAATCCATACAGAGCTTTACGCAGCATGTACATCTTTATCTCTTCGTCATGTTTCATAAACCCAACTGGTTTTTTAACATAAACTTCTTCGTCTAAGGGTCCATTTAGGAATTCACACTTCATGTCCATCTGACATATGTGATAATTGTTTATTTCTACAAGACTAACAACCAACCTGATTATTTTGATCCTTGCCACTAGTGAAAAAACTTCATCGAAGTTAATTCCTTCTTTCTGGAGAAATCTTTTCGCCATGAGTCTTACTTTGTATCGAGTTATTTTCCCTTTGGGATTCATCTTCACTTTGTATACCCACTTGACATTAATTTCCTTCTTGTCTTAAGGTAATTTGACAAGTGACCAAGTGTTGTTGTCTTTGATAGCCTTCACTTTTTTGTTCATTGTTTTCACCCACTTTGAATCCTTCAATGCTTCAGCTGCATTGACTGGTTCAACATCTGCATAGAAAGCATAATGTACCAGCTCACCTTTGTTATCAACCACATCATCTGATGTAATTACACAATCTTGTAACCTTGCAAACATGTGTCTTATTCTTTAAGGTCTGCTTGTACTTGGTTGATATATAACTGTTGGTTCCTCTTGTTGAATTTCTCTTTCGACTTGAGTTTCTGGTTCTTCATGTAGGATTCCCACTGAATCTTTCTTAACATTTCCAGTCCAATCACATTCTTTAAGCTCATTTATGATCACGTCCCTACTGATCACAATCTGCTTGTTCATAGGGTCGAACAACTTGTAACCTCCTGTCGAATGATATCCAACTAGAATCATTTGACTCGACTTGTCATCAAGTTTTCTTCTCAACTGATCTGGCACATGTCTATTTGCAATAGATCTAAATACCTTCAGATGACTTAAGTTAAGCTTCACACTAGACCAACATTCTTTTGGAGTAATTCCTTCTAGCTTCTTCGTTAGACATCTGTTCAAAATATATGTTGCAGTCGACACAGCTTCACCCCAAAACTCTTTAGGTAAATGCTTGCCTTTCAACATATTTCTCACCATATTCATGATTGTTCAATTATTTCTTTCTACAGTTCCATTCTTCTGTGGAGTGTAGGGTGGCACCACCTCATGCACAATCCCTTATTTTTCATATAATTTGTCGAAGTCTTCCGACACATACTCTCCACCACCACCAGTTCTCAAAACTTTGAGCTTTCGACGACTTTATCTTTCGACCATAAATTTAAACTTGGTAAATACCTCGATCACTTCACTTTTCTTCTTGATCATGTAAGTCCATAGTTTTCGACTAAAATCATCTATGAATGTAACAAAGTATTTGTTACCTCCAAACAAATCCACCTGAATTGGTCCACATACATCAGAGTATATGACTTTAAGAATAGCCTTCGACTTGTTTCCTGCATCCTTGCTAAAGTTGTTCTTGTGTTGCTTCGCCTGCACACATTCTTCACACACTTCATTTGGAATGTCGATCTTTGGCAATCTTGAAACCATATTTCTTCTCTTCAAATCTCGGATGCCTCTAAAGTTGAGATGGCCAAGTCGATAATGCCATATCCACTCATATCTGCTAGTTGCGGTCGAAAGGCATTTGTGCTCCATCATATTAATTGCAATCTTGAATGTTCTATTTTGATACATGGGAGCCTTCAAGATTAACCTTCCATTTGCGTTAACGAATCTCATCATCTTGTCTTCGACCAACACTTTGTAATTCTTTTCGACCAACTTCCATATGCTGAGCAAATTTATCTTCATGCCTGGTATGTACAACACATTGGAAATTACTGACCTCTTGCCATCTTTTCTCATAATCATAACATCACCAATACCTTCAACTGCTAGGGTATTGTCATTTGTGAATTTCATTGTGTTCTTCATCGAGGGTTTTATGTTGATAAACCAATTTTTCCTTCCAGACATGTGTGATAGGCATCCTGAATCCAAGTACCATTGATCCTTGAATTTTTCTTCATCTCTTGTTGTGACCACCAGCAATATCTCATCTTCTTCATACTTTGTAAACTTTGCATCACTTTCTTGATTCTTTCGCTTTTCTGGACAATCACTAGAATAGTGAACATACTTCTGACAATTGTAACATTGAATGTGACTCTTGTCAGGTTTTCGACCACCACCTTTTCCTCTATTTGCAACACCACCTCTTTGGTTGCCTTGGTATGGTCTTCTCTGATTCGACATGTTTTCTTCGTGTTAATTTCCTCTACCACTCTAATTGTTGTATCCACCTTTACCTTTTTGTCGAACCACTTTCCTTTTCCTTTCTTATCTCTTGTTGATTGAGCATGCAAAGCCACATCGCTCTTCGACTTGCCTGCAGCTCTTTCAGCCATTCTTTGTTCGTGAAATTCAAGCGTCCCTTGAAGCTCTTCCTTCGACAAAGATGACATGTTCTTTGACTCTTCTATGGAAACTTCCACATGGTCTAACTTTGGAGCAAAAGATCTCAAGATCTTCGAAACAACTTCCCTTGTTGTTAATGTCTCTCCACAAGTCTTGATTTGATTCACTAGTTTCGTAACCCTAGTGAAGAAATCATATATGCTTTCTCTATCTTCCATTTGAAGTAATTCATACGTTCTTTTGTGAGTTTGTAATTGTGATACAGTGGGAGAACTGACTTGAGGGTTTTGCGTTTGATCGTAAATGTTGCGGTTAGCAAGAGTCGCCACCGACTTTTCTTTTATCCAAAAGGAAAGGTGAAAAAGCACAGGAAAGACCTTTGAGATGTTTTCTTGAGTTCGAGGGGGTAGATTATGAAAAGGGGAGGTATTAGCACCCTTTTCATCCATGGTTTTCCATGGTCTCTTAGTTACTTGCTAGATCACTTGCTCTTGTTTGTTTGAAATTGTGTTTGGTATGGTTTTGAAAGTATTTTGTAAAAGAGGCAATTCGTTTAGGCAATCTTTGTAATGATTCTCGTTCGTAAGAATGTATACA